GAGCAGCACGTGAATAAAGTACCTACATATGCCTGTGAGACAGATTTACTAATTAGAGCCCAGTATCTGTGTAATTCTGTTTATCTTGGACATAAATATTAGCACCTCCAGTTTTCTTTTGATTAATGTCAGCATGGAACATCTTTTTATATCCTTTTACTTTGAATATCAACTACAAAAGAAGCCAAGGAAGAGTATGCTACTAGTTGTGTTAAAAAAGGGAGAATAGACCTGTACATATTTGCATATATACACACAGAACACCGATAGGAAAGAGGAAATGAAATATATTGGTTGGGAGAGTAACTGGCTAACTGGGGAAAATAGAAGACAGGGAAACCTCAGCACACACATTTATGTGTAATTTTTTAAAGTTCATATACATACAGTTCACCCTTTTAAAATGTACACATCAGTGGTTTTTAGTATGTTCATGGAGTTGTGCAGTCACTACCCCTATGTAATTCCAGAACATTTCCATTACCTCAAAAAGAAAGCATGTACTCATTATGTACGGAGTTGATATCACAGGAAACTGGGTGAAGGGTATGCATGGGCTCCCGGTACTATTTTTCAACTTTTCTGTAGGTCTAAAATGATTGCAAAATGAAAAGTTTATTCAAGGGCCTTCCTGGTGGCCTAGGGATTAAGTGTCAGTGCTACCAGTGCTGTAGCCTGAGTTCGATCCCTGAGCCAGGGAGCTGACCCACATATAGTGCAGCAGACCTCTCCTGACTCATCCACTGCTCCCCTCAGCAGTGTATTTCAGTAGATCCGCCTGTTCTGCTCCCCACTCTGTTTCTGGTGAATCCTCTTACCCTTGCACCTCTGGCCTGTACCCCAGTTCTTCTATAAAAAAAAAGTTTATTCAAAAGTAAAGTTGAGCTGTCAATATGTATTTCTTTGAGTATGAATTGTAATTCAATTTTTTTCCCAAAGAGGTTGTTTTTTGTTTATTAATTTGTACCAATGTCATGCTGGCTTATGTTATTGTTGGTACTTTTGAAGTACAGAATCCCACCTCCCTCAGGCATTGCCACCATAGTGCACCTGCCACTCAACCACCCACAATCCCCCAACATAGTACTGACTTTTACTGGTCAAGGATACTTCCTTTACCAGTTAGTGTTAGAGTTAGTGTCAGAGAAGAGAATTAAGTAAAATGTTATTTTCCTTGAGTCTCAGGGTGACAGATGCTGCGTATGTATCTCTAGAGCGCAGGCAGGCTTCTCTGATAGAGCTCATAAATGGCTCTAATTGGTACATAATCCAGTGACCCTTGGGATTATGTTGCTAGGAGTCTTTGGCTCCTGCTAAGATTTCCCTCAGCAAATAAAGGTGAGGTATATAGTGAAAAAAATAATCAGTTTAAATTATTGAAAACTGCTGGGACTCACAATACTAGTATGGGACAGACAGGTAACTCAGGACTATTTGACCCATGAGGATGAATTCACATCCACACACCTCTAAAAACATTAAAATATCAAAATATTATCACATTTGTGATCATATGTGAAATTGAGTATAAGGTTCTATTACCTTACCCAATTCCATCTTTTAGGAAAAGATGTGGATTGATATGACTGTCCTCTAAGTCTGTAGCTAAGGTCTTTGCCAGGAAATTTTTGCTACAAAACTACCCAAAGTGGTGAGTGGGGTGGGCAGATGGGACAGGTGTTGATCTGTCATAATGGAAAAATGACAGTGTTTATATCCTTCTTGGGTAAAAGGTGACTGACATCACATTATTGCAGGTATGGAGGGGAAGGTTCGAGGCATCATGACATTTTTTGAAGCAGAGTATATGAAGATAACAATCTTGGCTTCTGAAACAGTCACAAAGATTCTAGGTTGGTATTTTTGATGACTACTCTTTTGTTAAATCTAAGGGACATTCACTGAAAATACCAACCTAGATCAACGGTAAACTATAATATTAAGAAATGGGCACAGAATGGATTAAGCAGCACTTTGGAGAGAGAATTTGAAATCAACTGTGCCAAACAGACTAAACAATTGAGTAAAAAACAGCTGCATATCCACATGACAGGAGACTCTTACGTAGGTGGAAATCAATCTATGGGCTGTAGCATCCACATCTCTAGCTGATGATGGTACACCTTCATCACTGAACACTCAACATTCATAAAGTGATGGGTACAGCACTTCAGCACAATGCAGAATTAGTCATCAAGCCTGTCCTTATTTTCATAACATTCCCTTGTTTGAGGTGAGTATGGAATATTGTATCCATTGTACCTATTATGAAGGCAAAGAACCATCATCATCTGGTAGAGTACCCAGTGTTAATGGAATCCTTACAAAAATAAAAACAAATGCAGCAGCCCAAAATTCATGAAATGATGGCTTCCGTTATTTAACCACTTACAGGAGAAGGAGCAGCACACAGATGCATTTCAAAGGTGTTTCAAATCATACAAAATCAATGGGAGTAGCAAATGCTGCAATAACCATCAAGTTGTGTTATTTGTGTATTACAGATATGATAGTAGTACAATCCACATATGTCAATTACCTTCAACCCAGTATATAGCTTTCATGCATATCATGGAAAAGGATTAAGAAAAGAACTACAAAGCTTTGGTGTATACATGGAACTACGATGAATGAGCTGTCCAAGTGACAAATTAATTTTTTGAAAGGCCTTGCACACTTGAAATATTACAGCTTTCAATAAAAATTGAGAGAAAGGATTATGCAAATCATCTTTAGCTTGTGTGACTGGACATCAAGATAGTAACATAATACAAAAATTATTTTAAAAACACTAGGTACGGTGAGTAGTCAGTGTATTTAAATAATTAAGTGGTTTATTAATATTCATTGGCCATTATCTATGTACTCTCTGAATTATACATTTTCCAAGGTTTGAAGTGGTAGTACAATATGCATTTTGTTAATAATCACCCTTCCATATTATTTTTCTTCAAATGTTTCCTTTATTGCATTCTTTTGCCTTTAAATGGGAGAACTGATGTGAAGTATATTAATGATTAGGAAGCTCACACACTAGATGCCTAGAAAGATAGAATTTACAAAGCCTGAAAAGAACTCTATAGCAAAGAATAAAGCTCAAAACCAGTGATACTTAGCTACAAGAAATAATATTATGCTTATAACAACTGGATTTGGGCATGCTCATTTGGAACATGAGTGAGTAGTTTTAAATAATAAAGTCTAACACAATAGAACTGTTTTTGAAGAAGTCTTAAAACAAATCTTAGTTAATAATAAGAAAATATTTAATTCATTTTCCCCCCCACCGGTGTATTTTTATTAAATTTAATTGAAATAATTGCATTTGCATTTTAATATTGCATACATTGCAGTGTGCTTTCATAGGGATACATGTTTGTTGTTTGTTTTTTTTTTTTTTTTTGCTTTATATTATGTCATTGGGATTGCCACAGTAGTTGTGGAAGTCAGGCAGAGAAGATTATCTATCCATTAGAGAAGAAGCTTTGTCAGATTAAGTTGTGAAGGTCAGATATACAGTAGTGGGTTTGGGCTGTACCCCAAAACCTCCTGAAACAACATATGTAAAATTCTTAGTGCAACGCCTGACCCTCTATATGGTCTAGGTGAAAGGCATCTTATTTTTCCCAATTAGCCCAGTACCTTTTCTGCTTCAAGTCATTGCCTAAGTCCTACAGCAGTAGATGTAAATAATATACAAAATAATTGCAGGTGAAACTTGAGAAAACTGAGTGAAGAAAACAGAATAAGCCCTTTAGTCATAACATCTGCTGCAGTAAGAGCAATTCAGTCATTTTCAGTGGTAGAAATTACCTTTATCTTTATGATTGCAAGTTTCCATTCTTGAACTGGAATGGTATGCAACAAAAAATATTAACTATGACATAAGTAAAAGTAACTACATAAGTAGTGTATCACTTAATAAAATGTTTTCATCACTTAATAAAATGTTTTCAGAAGAAATGATGACATGAAGGAATACATCTCTATTAGCACAGCCATAAACAGAGTTGCTATTTAGTAAAATTGGTCATGATGGAGATAAAACAGTAGCAAGGAATTGAAAAAGTCCTTATGCAGCTTAATTCATTTTGATATATTTTAAAAAGAACTCCAATGCATCACAGCACATCTTATTAATTAAAAAAGGACTCTATTATCACTTTTTACTTCTATGCTTTAATTTATACATTTTTATCCTTAATTTAAGTATAACTATGAACAAAACATGAAAATTGGGGATTTTCTGAATCTCCAATCATGTATGTTCTATTCTACAAGCAGAATCTGCCCTCATATTTTGTTTATAGCCTTGTAATATATTAATGGCCTTTGCAATAGAATTTATAGAACGTATTCAAAAATCCCAAATTGGTCAATCATCTGCTCAGATAGAAAACTAAGTAACGTTAGTTTTGTAGCAGTCTATTTAAGTTAAAGTTAAAAAAAAAAACAAAAACGTAGAGCATCAACAAAAAACAAACAAACAAAAAAACAAAATAGATTCCAGCTAAGAAACTTCAAAATGCTATTATTTTCCTCCTGGGTGGTGCGATTTTCACCTTATACTGTCAGTCTGAATGTATTTATCCTCTGAAAGATGACTGGTCCCTGCCAAGTGTATTTCAATAACATAAATAAGAAGCTATAATTCAGTAACGAGTTCTAGGTTGTAAGAGGATTAATTATGATCACCATAATCAAAATCTAAGTCACATACAAAGAAGTCCAAAAAAGGCTGTAATCTCTCACGCCTACAAAATTCCTTGAATTTCTTCCTTTAGATTTATCTATCTTGATCAGTAGGTTTCGATAGAGTGAACTTTAGTCTGGCTTAGTCCTACAAATGTGCAGTCTATATCCTGTTTTCAAAGGCAAACAAAACTCACCACTTTCATACTATTATTAACTTTGCTCATTTCAAAGCACACCACATTTTTCAAAAACATAGAAATCAACAAGTTTAAATTCAATATTATATGCATTTAGAGGAGACTCACCTTTAAAGAATCAAAACAAGCCACCACACGACCATTTTCCACATGGCACACTCTTGGCGGATGGGCAAACTTGCAATCTGCATCTGCTCGAGAGCACGTTCCTCTCTGATATTCTCTACAGACTTCTAACGTCAGCCACTTGGTATCACGAACCAGGGTAACATTGACAGCCGTCATATTGAAAGTAAAATGAAAATCAAGTGCACCCTCTTTAGGACAATATTACTGCTGTTTTTAAAAGATTAAAACTGAATTCAAGCTAAATGTGAAGAGATAATAGGTTGCCTTGGTGAAATGTTTCTTTGTTAGCACTTAGGTTTTCATTAAAGTTAAATTCCGTCTAGTCAAACAAGAAGCCAATCAAAAAATAAAAATTATATCAGAACGACTAAAAATCAAATTAGAGACCAAGTCCTAAGAAGGCAACTGTAAAGGTTAAGATATTGAGTGTTTTATTTTGTTCCGCTGCTGAAATTACTTCAAATAACTGGCAGACTTTCAAAAGGATTCTGGGCTCTCCAGTTGATGTTTTCAATTATTCTTGCAAAAAGCATATGCCGCTGGCTGCCCTTCAATTTGTGCAATGGTCTCAGATCAAGAGGAGAAAGGTTTTTCTCCCTATGTCTCACGTTTAAAGGTTAAGATTGGTAAGGATGTTATATCTGAATTTTTTTTTATTTTTTTGCTGAAAAATCAGGAGGGAAAATGACTTTGAAAACTGAGAATCAAAGAAAAAAAAGAATGGACAAGTTGCTAAAAGTGAACTACAAGCACACCAGGGTCAAGGTTGGGGGGAAAAGGGGGGGCTTATAAAGAGACAGCTCTAGAGTGGAATCCAAGCAGCAGAGTTTTCAGAAAAGGCACTTTTCAGAAACCTGCAAGAAAAAAAAATAAAATTAGCTAAAATTATACAATGCTTCCACTTTCAACTAACTCTGGAAAAGAAGCAACCATCTCCTATTGAAAACGGGAAGCATCTCGATACTGACAGCACCGTACACAGTCAGTCACTGCCACGAAGAAGGGCATTTCTCAGGGCAGAAGTGTACGTAGTAAAAGGAAGCAACCACTTAGAGTTACTATTGCAGTAGAAGACTGGGTAACAATCCAATTTTCAAAAATAATTATCATTTTGATCTTTTGGGGACAGAAATCCATTTTGGGGTCCACTGCTGTGAAAATGCTGGAGTCTGATGTGACAGCCTTTTATGCAGCCATGATCCACCAGCATCTCCAGTTTTTAGAGGTTCCCAAAGAACCATCTTTTAAATGGCTTTACTGGGGTCTGATTGAAGGCTTGATTATCTGCTCTCAAAATCTAGCCAACAGGAATTACTAAGAAAACTAAGTTGCTCTGAGAGGTAACTCTGCGTATGTATTTGAAAGGTAATTGCTGATAATCGCATAAAATAGTCAGGACACTAATTATCTGGAGACTCTGCACATGAGGTACAGTGGAGGATGGAAATATAAAAAGTGTTTCGGATTAAAAAAAATCCTTTGAAAAGATGCAGTTTTTTTTCAATGTATGCTCTGTTATTAGTCTCTATGAAGGGATATTGGAATGACTCAGAAGGAGGTTTGAGCAAATACAAGTAAGTGAGGCAGAAAGTACAGCTCAGTCACACACTAAACAAGGTGCAGATTCCAGGTCTGCAGTTTAAATCAGTGTCAACCAACAATTTCTAGCAACTTAGCTGAGAAGATAATTGAAAGGTTAATTTACTGGTATTATGCCATAAACATGTGCTGAAAGAACAGGTATTTTTTTCTAAAGCAAAAGTAAGCTGTGCATATGAGACTTATCAACCAATTGTTAACTTCATCAAAGAATTAAAGTTCCTGAAAACATTTCATTTTTTTTTAAACAGCATCCTCAATAACTTTACAAAAGCCAAATTTTCTGTTGGTCTGTTCCACATCCAAGAGGAAACTGGAAGTCACCTATTATTTCTAATACTATTGGGGAATTAGGCATCTAGAAGAATCACAAGAGTTCATCTATTCAAGAGTAAAACGTGTTTCTCTGAGACAGTCCTCATGGAAATGTTTCTAAAATGTTTTATATGTCGCTTTGCGGTCTTAAAAAATACTGAACATAATTGGGAGACTTCGGGTCATAAATATCCCAGCAAGTGCTATAGTTGTAGTTCTCTTCCTTCGGTGGCAGATAGCTAATGGCCGCTTTTACTGTCACTTCTCTGCCTGCCGCAATATGTGTGCATCCACAAGAAGGGTGGCTTTTTCAGCTCCCTTCTGGAAAACATAACAGCTAACCATGAATGTGGAATAAGGGTCAGTGTCTCACTGAATGAGGACTCTGAGTAGCAAACTGCAGGGTTTTGGTGCAGAAGCTCTATGGCTGCTTTTATAGCCTAGGGGATGCATTTGTAATGTGTTCCATGAAGAATCATATCCTAGAGGTTAAGGTTGTCAAGCAAATGACCTCTAAAATATTATTTATTTTGTTAAATAAATAGTCTGATGTGGTACATGAAAAAAAAAAGTTTATCACCCCTTATCATTAGGGAAATGCAAATCAAAACCACAATGAGCTGCATCCTCACACTTGTGAGAATGGCCCATATCAAAAAGACAAGAAACAACAGGTACTGGTGAGGGCGTGGAGAGAGTGTACTGCTGGTGACTATGCAGACTGGCGCAGCCCCTGTGGGAGCTGTGTGGGGGTTTCTGAAAAGACTAAAAATGGATCTGCCATACAACCCAGCAATTCCACTCCTAGGTATCTACCCAAAGCACACAAAACACTAATTTGAAAGGCAACCTGCACTCTGCTCACTGCAGTAGTATTTACAATAGCCAAGATAATGGAGACAACCTAAGTCCCCCAAACAGATGAGTGACTCAAGAAGACTGGTATGTATGCACAATGGAATACTACTCAGCAATCAAAAAAATAAACTCATGCCAGCTGAGGCAACATGAGTGGAGCTGGGAGGGATTTTGCTAAGTGAATTAAGCCAGAAGGTGAAAGATGAATATGGGATGGTGTCACCTATATGTGGAACATGGAGAAAACAAACAAAGGGTCAAAGACAAGCATTTAAACCAACCCTGGAAGGCTGACCATAGATCTGGGGCGGGGGGGAAGAAAGAGGTAAGGACAGGAGGGGGAAAGAGCCCAATGGACTTTGGTGGAGGACTATGGGTGATCCGGTGGGGGAGGACTATGGGTGGTCCGGTGGTGGCGGGCTTTGGGTGATCCGGTGGTGGAGGGCTCTGGTGACTATACCGTGGGCGGGAGGATCCTATGCTGTCTAAACACTAACCAGGAAATAAGATAATGGCATTTCAATAAAAAACTAAAATACAAAAAAAGCCTGGTGGGGGAAACACAAATCAAAACCAGAGTGCTATGATGGTTGTTAACAAAATAGAACAATTGAAGAGATAGCAACTGTCCTACGGTGTTGGCGGGCATGTAAAATAGGGCAGAAGCTGTGGAAACAGTTTGACAGTTCCTCAAAATGTTAAGCAGTTGCCACATGACCTAGCACTTCTAGGTCCAGGTATATACCCCAAAGAGCTGAGAGCAGGTCTCCAGGAGATAGGTGTCCATTCATAGTCATGGCAGCACTCTTCATGTCAGATGAGAGGTGAAACAACTGACGTGCCCATCAGCACTCAGGTAGACTCACAAATCCAGACAGCCACCCAATGGAATTTAGTCCACCTCTTAAAGGAATGAAGTACTGCAAGTTTTGATCTGAGCGTACAGCAGAGGAGGGGGAGGGACAGGGGTCAAAACAGGAGGGCAGAGCACAAGGGACTAGGGTGATGGTTCACGGGTGATGCGGTGGTGGGAGATTTATGGGGCCTACAACAGAGGGGAGGACTCAAATAGTGTACCAAAATGAACAACAATGTAAGAAAATAAAAAGTTCAATTAAAAAGAAAGAAACGAAGCACTGATCCACCTGCCACAAAACAAACCCCAAAAGACCATGCTGAGTGGAAGAAGCCGGTTGCAAAAGGCCATATGTTGTATGATTCCATTTACATAAAACATAGAGTCGGCAAACCTATAAAGTCAGCAATTAAATGAGTGCTTTTGAGGGCCTGGGGGAGGGGAGAAGGTGGAATAACTGCTTAATGGGTCCAGGGTCTCTTCTGGGGATGAGAAAAATATTCCGGTATTAGATAGTGATGATAGTTGTATATTTTTGATTATACTGAAACCCACTCCCTAAATTATACACTTTAGCCGTATGAATTGGTTAGTATGTGAATTATATGTCAATAAAGTTGTTACCTATTTTAAAAGAGACATGTTTTTTTAAAAAATCCAAAAGATTGATGGAATTGACTAACCCTAGCTGATCTTTCTCTTAGATTCTCCGTAGGCACAAATTCTTTTGATCAGCACCACTAAGTTGAATTTCATGAGTAAATTCGTTTCCATACTGTAACCAACTTTGTGTATTATGGAAAGTACTATCAAAGAGTATGTTCTGCAAGTTAAATTTAAAGATATATTCAAATTTAATCCTACAACTAAATTGTGTAGGCTGCCTGAGCATATCTGAGAGAAAATTAGCATAGATATATTTACATGATTTTCTCAGAACAGAAACAATGAGGGTATGTAGAAAGATTGTTCTACAGCGCTCCATCAAGTATAAAAACAGACCAAAATAATAGATCTGAATTTTGAACTTTCACAACGAAAAATGCAAGCATTAATTGGACGCTAGCCATGCGTTAAATCAAGAGTGGGAGAAGAAATTTCCCTTTTTAAAATTGGCCCATAACCTCTGATGGGACCCTGGCCAATTCCTCAAAGACAGTTCTAGCCAGCACATGTCCTCCTTCAGACTGGAACTATTTCGGGGGCTGGCTCAGGAGAAGCTAGGTACAACAACTTAAAAGGGGCCGGGCAGAGGATGGAGAGCAGTTCTCACGCAGAGCTCTGCTCATCTGACTGTGCATAAAAATAGAGAGGGGTACACTCATCCCTGTATGTTTAAGATCAGCTTTGTTTTGGTGACAATACAGCTTTACATTTTGCATCCTCAGACTTGAGTAATATCAATGTAATTTTTTTATGATTTATAGTCTTCTAATGTAGGACATGAAAACTACCATTTCCTAGCACATTTGTTCTTGCGGTTCACATGTGCTTTTATTTCATTGATCTTTGGAGTGCTAAAAATACTCAAAAGCATGAATAACCCAAAAATACCATTGAAGGAAATGAAGCTCATCGTGGTTAAATTACGTCTTTGAACTTGTAAAGTCTTAAGTGGTAGAGCCACAACTTGAGGCAAGATCCTCTGTCTCTAATTCCCATGCTTAGATTATGGAAGAGAAATAGAGTAGAGACCCTTTTGTTCTCTCATCTCTCTTTGGAAAGTTGAACAAGGAAAGCCAGGCATTGTTTGTGTAATGCTTAAGATTCCTTCTCAAAATTTTGTTCCAGTCTGTTGTATCCCCCTCTTCAGAATATCCCTGAATTGTGTTGGACCAACATATACCCAGTGTCTACTCAGTACCAGGTACTCTTCTAGATGCTGATCAAGACTGCTAAGGTCCCTGCTTAGTGAAACTTCCTAAAGAAGAGAGAAGTGAAATGCTTTTGAGGGTCCATGAAGGGCTGAAAGCAGACAGTAAATATTCTGACTTCAACAGAGGCCTCTAACTTGCCACGAGTGGACACATCAAGCACTATGACTTAGGAACACTCAAACAAAAAGTCAAATGCTATTGCATACGTATCAGTCACTGCGAAGAATACCTCGGAATGACACCATGTCTTAACACTTTTTGGATTCCTCTTGGAATGGGTAGTATTGTTCCCAATTTATAGATGGGGATACATGCATTTTAATATCTGGAATTCTTGACATATAGAACA